CATGCTTGGGAGGGTGGAGGGACAGCGCAGGAGAGGAAGGCCCTCTATGAGGTGGATTGATTCAGTGACTGGGATAATTGGGATGGGAGTGTCAGAGATGGTGCGATTGGCACAGGATAGAGCGGAGTTTAGGGCTGAGTTTAGAGGGAGTTTAGAGATGAGTCGCAGGCGACTCGACGACACATAACAACAACAACAACATCCAGTTCTTCACTAAAATCGTTAGATGCCATCAAATCCACTACAACTCATAGCAAGCCCAAGAACAGAGATCTGAACCTTGCTCTGTCCTTCACCTTCCTCGTGCTTTCTGCTACGCTTGAGCCCGCTGTGATCGTCACTGTCAGTCCATCTCACTGAAGGTCTTCCTCGCTTTCTCTGATCCTCTGCCTATCCCAACAGTGTCTTTTTCCAAGGATTGGCTCCTGCTGATAATGTGCCCAACGTTTGAGATGAAGTTTTGCCATCCTCACCTCTAAGGAGCACTTTGGTTGCTCTCCTTCCAATTTAAATTGCCAGTCTATTCAATATTCTTTGCCATCATAATCAAAAGTATCAATAATTCTTCTGTCATCCTCATTCATTTTTCCAACTTCCAAATGCATGAGAAGCAACTGAAAATATCTTGGTTTGAAAAGGTGCACCTTAGTCTTGAAACTGACATCCTTGCTCTTTAGCACTTTAGAGAGATACTTGACAGCAGATTTTCCTAATGCAATATGACTTTTGATTTCTTGACTTTTGTTACCCTGGGAGTTGGTTGTGGATCCAAGTAAAAAAAATTCTATAAAAACATTTGACTAAAAATATTGGTAAACAAACACTTCTGTTCTTGTCTGGATGCTACTTAGAGAAGAACTGTGGTGCCTTCAAGTCAAGTACAACTCAGACACCCTATGAACAAAAGATCTGATCTCAGTCCTGTCCTGCGCCATCCTCACACTTCTGACACACAAGAGCCCGTTGCAGCAGTCACCGTGTCAATCCACCTGGCTGAAGGTCTTCTTCTCCTTCGCTGACCCTCCAGTCTTCCCAGACTCATGTCTTTCTTCAAGGAATAGTACCTCTTAGCAGTATGTCCAAAGTATGTGAGGCAAAGCCTCACTATTGCCTTCAAAGACCACTCCAGCTGTGCCCTTGCAAGACATATCTTTTCATTCTCTTGGCCATCTATGGGATGTTCAGTGCTCTTCTCCAACATCACAACTCAAAGGCATCAATTCTTTTTCCATCATCCTTATTCACTTTAAGGACCACAGGCTCAATGTAATTAATACTAATTGGGCACTTAGAAATAGTTAAGTTGAAAAGTTTTGTTATATATTTCACCACAGTTATAATAGCAACCACTTAAATAAGAACTTTTTACCATTTAACAGAAAATATAGTCCATAAAATATGATTTTGACCTTACTAGTTTCAGTGTGGTGTGATATCTTTATTAGTATGCTTACACCAAGTGAGAAGAGATGCCAAAACACTTCCAGGCTAATCAGCTGTATACCAGATACCCCGTGGTGCTGCAGAATTATTTTTACTTTGCTAATTTATGAGAAGTGTTAAATAGACAGACCAAAGAATTATTCCAGTAAACAAATTATGCAACATGCTGCTTGCTCTCAGTATAGTTTTAATTTTGAACACCGGGACTTAACAGAAGTTTTCAAAGAGCATCTTCCTAAACTTTAAATAAATCTAAGTTCATTTAAAGATTGAATAAGAGAATCAAGTAACAATGATTATTAAGCTTATTCCCAACAGTAAAACTTTAAGCTGAGCTTGAAGGATGATTATCCCAGAATTTTTTGTAAAGCCAAATCTAAAAATTGTTAACTAAGATCTTGGATTGAACACTTAATTTTCTTGACCAGCAAGGAGTTTCTTCCAGACCTCACCATCTGGAAACTGGTGTTTCTTTACAGATTCCTCTTTCATTTCTGTTGAATAGCCGGCATCCTAGCAAAGAGAAATAATGGAGCACTATTAAGATCTACCTGGAACAAAATATTTCTTTCTGTTGCGCTAAGAAATGCTTTCAAAGCTAAGTCATAGGCAGCAATTAATATTTTTATAAATATGTTTTCAAATGCTTAGACTGGGGAGGAACAATTTTATCGGCTACTTCCTAGGACTAGTTCTTCATTCCTTTGGTAGCTCAACCTTTGCTGATAAAAATGAGCTATGAACTCCTGAGCATCATCAGGATAAATGGCCCAGATGGCACAGCTGTAGTCAAAACTTTGTAGAGCTTTGGTGGCTCAGCACACAGCCTACTGTGTGGTAACCAGAAGCCACACATCTTCGATGGTTTGACTCCACCAAGTAAACATGCCCAGTCTCCCCCAGTTAAGATTTACAGCTTCAAAACCCCAGTGGAGTGTCACTAAGTTGACATTAACTTAATGGCAGTGAGGGATGGAGGGCCAGTTAACTTGCAGGTTTGGTTTTGCACAAGGACTGCAAATTTTAAAGTATTGTTGCCTGTTAAGAGATCATCCTTGTCAAGGGGCAATTTAATCTCCCAGGTTTGTCCCTTCGACTGCAAGAAATGCTGTCAACTAGACTGGACTGCATATAACAACAACTTATTTGTGCACAGTGAAAATGAGGACCAGCAATGATGGTCGGCCTCCCTGCAAGGTCTTACCTTAGGAGGTATGTAAGATGCCTTCTTGATGATCACAGGATACTTGAAATGTTCATGGAGGTGGTCAACATATTCACACATCCTAGGAGGAAAGAATCAGGTTGAGATAGAAATCCTTACATTAGATCATACATGTGGTAGTAACGGTAAAAGCCATGGGATTCCTTCTGTGAGACACAGTGGGGCCGCCTTACTAAATTTGCCCAAATATTACAAAAAGAGCTTGAAATACTGTGAGAATTATCAAAGTGATGCAGAGACACAAAGTTATTACGTGCTGTTGGAAAAGTGGCAATAACAGACTTGCTCAATGGAAGGTTGCCACAAACCTTCAATTTAAAAACAAAACTGTACCAAAAGCACATTTTTTAAATGTACACCCATACTAAGTTACCGGCTGACTGTATCAGGTACTTTAATCTGTAAAGAACAGATGCAGAGGGAGAACCAGCACATAAGAGAGGCCTGCTGAACTCTGAAAGGTGGGTGGGGAATGATATTCAAGAATCTAATGAGAAAGATGATTTGAAATACAGATACGGCTGTATCATGGAGACTAGAAAGAAAGGCAGCACAAGCAGAAAAGGATGGAGACTGGGCTTTAGAAAGAAACTGGTTTGAGGAGGGTATTGGTTTCCATCTGGTTATGAACACTGGAATAATTCCTTGGTTACAAACAACTTTCCCAAATTTACACACTTCAAAAATAAACTAGCTGTCAAGACCTCAGCCCCAGATAGAATGGCCACTAGCTGGTGCGTATCGACTCCATGTACAGGAGCCATGGCGCTGGAGACTGCTAACTTCAAGATCTAGAGTTCAGGCTCACCAGCTCCTCCACAGAAGTTGAGGTGGTCTGTGCCCTTGAACACTACAGCCCCAGAAAGCCTACGGGCAGCTCCACTCTGTCCTCTACGGTCACTAGTAATTGGAATCAACTCAGTAGCTGTGTGTGGGTCATGACAACAGAACTGGAAGAGATCAAGGGATGCTAGTTAAGCAGGAAAGGATTCCTAGCCAGAGCTTTTGTTAGTGGCTGTCAATTCAGATCTCTCCTGGTTACCTCATGTACAACTAAATGAGACATTTCCTGGACTTTGCCATCCTCGCAACTGCTAGTAAATGTCATGTTACTGACCTGTTTTCAAGGCTTCCAGAGACAGATATGTAGTCAAATATAATCAAGTGCTGTACCAATTCACAGAGGCCAACTCCACCAGCGTGGGGGCAAACAGGAACTAAAAGGAAAAAAAACCATTCTACTTAATGCCAGGAGTTGGGCAGAGTAATGAGGTTATTACAGTGACCTGTTTGGATTATAATCACTCAGATGTGTTCTGGCATTATCATTTCCATTTCGTAAAAAGGGAAGAGAGGAACTGGTGAAAAGAGAGTTGTCTGTGTTTTCTAATTGCCCACCAGTGATTAAATCATTACAATTTAGAAGAATGAAATTCCAGGGTGAGAATTACCCAGTTTCCCAATTAAGCCTTACTGAGAGTTAGGAAACAAAATGAAGTTGGAAAATGCAGATCATTTGGGTTTGCGAGACCAGAGAAGCCTGATCCCTGGCAGGCAGGCGTGTGACATGCACTCAGCAGAGCCCTTACTTCCAAACTTCTGGGCCATCAGTAACACTGAGAGGTTCTCATTGACACTTCCCAGTCTGCAGCTGTCAATCTGAAGAAACTGCAAGGCACTGGCCTGGAGGAGTTGCTTAAATATCACTCTGTTGTGGCACTGAAAACACAAATGGCAGCGACCTGGCAGAAATGGCAGAGTTGACCTGGTCCTCGGGGTCTGCACCTGGCACCAAGCCATTCTGGGCTCATCAGGGCTATGCTTACTCTTTGTTCTTGGCACACGTAAGCCCCAAAAGTGCAGGCAGAGGCCCACGCTCACCTCTTTACACACCTGCTAGGGAAGCAGTGAGCAGGGTGAAGACCACTGTGCTTTATTAGAGGGAATGTCATACTGGTGAGTGGGTGCTGCAGACCGGCTTCAGGTTGAGCATTCCAGGCAGGAGGCCTGGACCACACAGCTGAACCTCGTTCAGCATGCTCCTGTGCCGGGAAGGGCTTCTACACTGGCTGGTCTACCCCATGGGCTGTGCTTCGTTTTAAGCACAGAAAGTAAAGCAATACCGCGGTGCAGTTTGGAAGCTGGCTTTCTCAAAGTCATCAATGTGTTTTATTCCCCTGCAAAGGTGACTTTAAATTGTTGCCTTGTAACTTTTGATGAGAGACTGTAGCATAGCTAAATGGCCTTACTCATAGGAACTGTAGAAAAATCCACCAGTTTCTGACCATCTCTGACTCAAGACTCTTAATTGCTGCACAGTGATCCCATCACCAAGAATAGGAAAGCTCCCTCACTCCAAGGACAGGAGCCAGGCCAGCCTGCTGTCTGCCTATGTCCTCCAGTGATGTCAGTATGTTCTGACCACGAACAGCATCACTTACCTGTTCTCCGGTTGCAACACCAATTCCTAAGGGGGCCAACGCCTACAAGACATAAGGCAACCCTGTATTATTTTCCCAAGTTTTCACATTGAAATTCATAATGTTTAAAAATATTTGTAGCCAAGGGAGGAAACGTCCCCACTGTCAGGCTGTGTGAAGTTTAAAGAACAGCAGGAGGAGTATCTGTGTGCGTGGAAGGGGCTGTGTGTGTTTGTAGAAGAAGCAAACATGTTCATCCACTGCCACCTGCTCCCTCCTGGCCGCGGCTCTGCAGATCAGCTCCTACAGCGTTCCTGTGGGGCTGAGCTCTCAGCAGCCTGCCCTCAGCTCCTGGGCCTGCTCACAGGTGAGGGCCTAGAAGGCAGAGCCACTCAGCAGTGGCTCATCACAACTCCTTCCTGTCTCTCTGATAACCAGCCATCAGTGTTATTCTAGATCTTCTTGTGTCTTTGTCAATCGTAATGTCCCTTCCCTTCAAGCTCAGTTGTTATGTGCTATTGAGTTGGAACTGTCTCATACCTGACCCTTGAGTGGATTTCAGAGACTGATTCACCCAGAGAGTGCCCCTCCTTCTCCCACTGAGCAGCTGGTGGATTTGAACTGTGTACCTTTGGGTTGGCAACACAGCTCCTTACCAGTGGGCTCCCAGAGCTCCCTTTCAAGCTCAGAGGTGACTGTACAAACCTTTTTCAAGGCTAGGCTGAGCTCATCAGTCATGATCTGCTCGCACACGGGCATCGTCACCCAGCACGGCCCTGCTGCTGCCTGCCCACCCTCTAAAGCTAACTCACTTCTCCCACCTGTGCTCTTGCCCCCTCCCTCTGCCTCCGCAGGGGTGCCATTCCAAAGCTGTTCTCTCAGGTTCTTTTTCCCCTTGCTCAGGATAGTATCAGAGCATTGCAAACATATTCTGAGTGCTTACTGCTGCTCAAGTATACACAAAACACTGGTTTAAACAGACAGGTGGCATCGTAGTTCACACTTCACAGATGACAGGCAGACCTGCAGGGTTAGTGTCACTGTCCCTCACTCAGAGTCAGGAAGAGACACGGCTGGGTAGAACACTAAGCAGAGTGATCTGAATCACTAGATGACACTGACTTCCAGCAGAAAGTCCCCCAGCTGAGGAGTGGGGTGTCCAGTCTCAAGCCCTTCCTTGGTGATCTGACAAGACATGTGAACATGGGCAAGTCTCCCACCACCTGAAGCCTTGGCTTGTCTGCGGGACAGACCGGGGCAGACAGTCTCAGATATCTTCCAGGACTATGATATTATTTGTCCCTATTTCTTGGTTATCTTTAAAAAAGAGTGGGGAAAAGGTATTGGGAGCCAGTTCTCTTGACTGACTCATTCCATTCTGCCATTTTAAAGCATTTCTGTTTCTGGCAGTAAATGATGTTATGTGCTGTCGAGTCATCTGAGACTCATAGCGACCCTCTGTACAACAGCTCTTGAAACCTGTCCTGTCCTGAGCCAGCCTCATTGACCCAATTTTATTTTCTCCTTTAAACATGTTTTGAATTTGCTCGGTTCTACTGTCCTTTTCTCTAACTGCCCCCGACATTCCCTTGATGGCCTTCTGTAACAGACTAACACGGCTGTAACCTCTACATTTTCCAAGTGCCATCAAGTCAGCTCCAACTCACAGCACACACCTGGATTCCTGCCCTCTGCCCCTGCCATTCAACATTATGCTGGCAGTCCACCACCTCTGAGTCTGCTCTGCATCCTCTCACTCAGGAACCCACAGTGACTCACTCTGTGGCTGCATCTCAGGCTGGATCTGCGGCCTGGCTCCCTCCCACCTTCCCTACTGTTGTCCCCTTATGCCCTCTGTGGTCATGGGCCCTGTAACAACTGCTCCCCCTGCTGGCTCGCCAGCTCCCCTCTTCCACACAGCCTCCTTTCTGTAAACAAAACTTTGGTGGGATTTGTAAGACATAGAATTCTGGGGTGCTCTGGTGGCCTGGTGGCAAGAAGTTGCACTGCAGTCCCAGAGGTACACAGTTTGAATCTACCAGATTCTTTGCTAGAGGAGGGGCAATCTCCTCCTGTACCAGTCAGATCTGATTTGGTACACACAAAAAAAATGATAATTTTTTTAAAAAATGTAAAAAAAAAAAAGAATTCAGACTGGTTCATCTTCAGAGTAAAGAGAACAAACACTAGGTAATAATGAGCTGACCCTAAGGAAACATAAACAACAAAAAGACATGACAAACTGCAGAGGCCCTGGAATGCATAAAAAAAAATAGAAGAGGGGGACTGGGGAAAGGAGAGGGAGCCACTATAAAAGAAGACTTGTGTCCCAGAAAGGAGTCTGGGAAAGACTGCACTCTCCGTAAGGACTCAGTCATAAGGAATTGGGGGAGGGACTCGCAAACTCAAGAAAGAAAAACTTGTTGGGTTTCTTTTTTTTTTTCCAGGCTACTTTGTGCCCTATTTTGCAATATTGCTTAATAAAACCTCACTCTTAATGAACTGACTTTGGATTGGATTTCTGGAGCGTTTGTCAGGTTAATGCTCTGGGTAACTTAGCCTATGGGGTAAGGCAGGCTTGTCGCATACTCCTCCCCTCTGGACTCAGTGAGGATGGTCCCGCTCAGGGTTTCTTCTGATCTGCCAGTTACGAAGAGGAGCTGAGACAGTGCTCTGGGGACCAACAGTGGTTTTCATGGGCTTGAGACCAGAAGCACATCTAAGGAGGCTGTCCTGGTGGATAAAGACCCAGGCCTGGGCCAGCTGGCAGTCAGTAATGTCACTGCCTTCGATGGTAGCTACCAACCACCAGCAGCCTTCATGAGCACCTGACAGGAAAGCAAAGCACAGCGGCAAGGCCCTCTTGAGCCATCGCTCCTGATTCTCTTGAACCCTTCCTGTTCAGGTGAAGTCAGCTGGAGTCCCTCTTCAGCTTCTGCTGACCTGCAGCTTAGCTTTCCTCTCAGCCATGGTCTCACCTCCAAAAAGCCCTCTCCAGTCGTCGATACACACCATCTTTCCCCACTTCTACTTCCGCCACACCCCCACTGTCCCAACTGTCCATGCTTCTTGTTGCTTAGTGTTTTCTCTCCGAGAAGAATCAATGCCTTTGAGCTGTGGTGCTGGAGAAGAGGGCTGAATATACCATGGACTGCCAAGAGAACAATGGGGTTCATCCTGGAGAGGGTGAGATCAGGCTGCTCCTTGGAGGCAAGGACTCTGAAGCTTCGTCTGATATACTTCAGACATGTTGCAAGAAGGCACCAGTCCTTAGAGAGGGACATCATGCTTGTAAGGATGGAGGGACAGTGTAAGAGAGGAAAATCCTGGATGAGATGGAATGACTCAGTGACTGGGGTAATGGGGGTAGGTGTGTCAAAGACAATGAAATTGGTTCAAGATAGAGCAGAGTTCAGAGCTGTTGTACACAGGGTCACTATGAATTGGAGTTGACTCAACAACACACAACAAGACTGAGTGGGAAGAGTGGCAGCATGTCTATCACAGGTTGTGTCAAGTGTTGGACTTCTGGTGGATAAACATGTTGAATTTACTGAGAGAAAGATGAGAAGGCCCCCGGGCCCCAGGCCCTACACCTCAGTGGGCCTTGCCAGTCCATGTAGTTTCCTAGAACTTGGAACAAAGATTATCCTCAGGATTAATGTTTTTTTAAGTCAATACACAATAGCAGAGAGTACAGCTATGAAAAGTCACCTTGGGGAGAAAAACAATGATTCTGGGCCAGCCAGATGTGGCTATGAGCCAAATGAATGCACCAGCCCCTGGCACAATGTCTGCAGGAATGAGGCCTCCATGTCTGGAGCTGAAGGAGCTAACCTGCTGTCCAAGTGTGTGATGGTCACAGGCGGTGAAAGACACTAGCTGTGGAGACGGACACGGGCCATGCTGGCCTGACACCCTTGCACCGTCAGTTCTCATGACTTAACTGCTACTCTGATTCCTCACTCATCACACAGCTTCCCATTCTGGTCAGAGGGTACAAAAACCTGGTGCTCCTAACAGTTGTATTTCTCCAACTTCACAAATGTGTCGAGGGGGGTGGTCTCTCAGGGTGTTCTTCAGACATTGTGGCATACCAGATTCTTCTAGAATCTGAGATGGGAGGGGCAGGCCTCAGTGGAGTGGTCCCGTGGAGGAAGCACTCAGCTGAGAGCGCTCTCTTGGGAAGAGCCTCCTGAGACGCTGGACAGGCTCAGCCTTGGCATCAGCTGAGCCAACCTTTTGAGTCACTCAGAGGAAGCTGTAAACTGTTTCATATGGTACAGTATTTCTAATGTCTGTCATATTTCTGTACTAACAAAGCATGGGAACCATGTCTATTAATCTTTGGACTAGGGTAGTATATCAACTTTTAGCAATTTCCTTTTTTTAGAGTAAACATAAGTAAGGGGTAGAGGGTAAGCTGGAGTGAATAAAAGGATGTCAAGTCTGAAATTCCAATACTTGAAACAAGTGACAATCATCTCAGCTCTCTGGTCAAGAAACCTTAAAGGGAACAAGCAGGACTATGGGACTGCTGCAGGCACTCTGGAAAATCAAATGAAGGTGAGCCCAGCAGCAGTGGCAGCTCATCTACCTTGGAAATGGTGGCATGACCAAGGATGTCATCGGGAGAAGTCGGCTCCTCGATCCACAGAGGCTTGAACTCGGCCAGCCTGGACACCCACTCTATGGCTTCAGGCACATCCCAGCGCTGGTTGGCATCCATCATCTGCAAGGGGAGAGAGACCCATCATGGTGGCCCTGCCCAGGGCCGGGCTCACTGTAGAAATGCTCTTACTCACCTGTCACCAACTCTGAGGCCAACTCCCACACAGGGTCCTGGCATCTTCCTGCTGGAAGACACCCACTCACAACCCTAACTCAAAACACATGCGCTCACTGCTACTGAGTCACTTTCGACACAGTGATCCTCCGCTGGGCTTCCAAGGCTGTAAATGATAAAGGGAAGAGCTCCCATCTTTCTCTCTCAGAGCCGCTGGTGGATTAAAACCAGCAAAGATGTCTGGCCTTTGAATTAGCCACACACTTAATCCCAAAGTTCTCTTAACAGAGGAAGCCAAAGGATGCCCAGAGGTTTGGGATGCCAACTCCAGAGACTCCGCTGGAGGAGATGGAGCTGTTGGACTGAACGGCTGTGGCACTGGAAGTGCCCCACTGAGGCCAGTCAGAGGGGCTTGCTGGCCCAATTTCCACCTTCTATATCACCCCAATAAACCTGATTCACAGGGTTAGCTCTGTTTGTAGGAAATACAGTCTGAGTCACTGCACACAATTCAGGTCATTTACCAAGTGCGCACTATGTATCTAGCATAATAATAAATAACCTGCATGTTATCATTAATTAGCACCTAATTCCACTAGGCACTTTATGTATTTTATCTTATTTAATAGTTATAATAACCCAATGATGCTGTTCATATAAACTCATTTTATAAACAAGAAAACTAACATGCAGAGAAGTTAATATATTTTCTCATGTACCAGTCAAATAAATGTGGGTTCCACCCAGGGCTCTTCTGGAGAGGGTTCCTGACTGCACTCCATTATCTGTGCTGGAAGCCAGGTGCTAGAGGTGCAGACCTACCCCACCTTCTACCCCCGAACCTCATGGTACCTTAAGAAGACAGGCATAAAACCAGACCTCTTTAATAGAATGTGGTTAAGTGGGAAGCCTTCCCTTCTGTTATGAAGGATGCTATAAAGACCAGAGTAGAGTACACTCTGAATCAATTCTTTTTCATAAATTATTTGCATGAGGATGATCTCATAAAACAAAAATAGCTTTATTAATGCTTAATAGGACTGTTATCTTATGTCAAGGATTCAAAATGTCTAAAGTACTACATGTCTCTTCCTTTTAAAAAAATTACTGTTGCTTTTATAAAAATATTTCATATAGGGAGCTCTGGTGGCCTAGTGGCAAGAAGCTACACTGTAATTCCAGAGGTACAGAGTTTGAATTTACAAGATGCTCTGCTGGAGAAGGAGGGGCAATCTCCTCCTGTACCAGTTAGATCTAATTTGACAGTACACACAAAAAATAATTTAAAAAATTTCATATATAAGAAATATTTCCTAAAAATACAGCCACAGTTCTAACATGAGCTTTCTGCAATGGTGGCCTCCTAAAGCCTGCATATCCGACAATCTACACAGGCAGGGCTCACTCAGAAGGGAGGTTAAGTGAGAGATACACCATAAGCTCACATTTGCCTAGGTGCAACCACACCAGCAAGGAGAGCTCTCTGAGTCAGATCTTATTTCCAAGGAATTAAAAATACAAATTTCCATCCCTTTCAGAGTTCTGCTTTTCTATTGTTGTTTTAAGAGTTGTCCTTCTATAAGACTAAAGAGCTGTGCTTTCTCTGGCAGTAAGTTTTAGTTCCTAGTGTTTTCTACTCCTTGCTGGGAACGTGCTGTTCGGGTCCTGAACAATGACTGACTTTGTGGAGGCTGCTTCCTTGTCAGCAGCTAAGAGGCTATTTACCAGCGTCTTCTCAGGTCCAATCATGTCTCTGATAAGCCGGCACCTGCGGATGTCATCTTGGAGATCAGCACCAACCTTGACTTTGAACCTACAAGATAGATACATTAGGTTGGCAGTCTGCATTTGTCCCCTGACCCTGCTGACGCCCACATGCCCCGCCTGTGTCAACAACTCACAGACCCCATTTTCTAGTCCCTACATACTCCTCTATAACTCTCTCCAGAGAAGCTACCTGAGAATCAGCCTGCAAACTGCCTCTCTTCCTCAGCATCAGGGCAATGGTGCCAACCTACTGCTGAACTGAAGTTAGGGAGCTGGAGAGGGGAAGTCACACTCAAAGTGAGGGCTTACTCCCAAAAGTGAGCTATTGCATGCTGCCATCTCCTGTATAATTCATTGGTATCTCCCTTCCCAGAGCAAAGAAAAGTGAAGAAGAGAAGAGACTATGAATCCAAAGCACTGGCAGGCCACATGAACTTCTATCTCCATGACCCTGAGACCAGAACAGGACAGTGCCCAGCCACCACTGCTGACCACTCTGAAAGACAGCATCCCTGAAGGTCCTGACAAGAGTGGAGGGGAAATATGGAGCAGAACTGAAAGCCATAAAGAAGAATAGACTCACCAGTCTGGTAAAGACAGGAGAACCTCAAGATGATGGCTCTGAGCTACCCTTCAAGCCTAGTACTGAAATCACCTCCACACCTGAACTTAAGAGTCAGACAATGTTGTTATATGCTGAAGTTGACTATGACATAGGAACAATAGCACTGAACCCTGCTCTATCTTGAGTCAATCTCTCTGTCTCTGACACACCTGCCCCCATTGCCACAGTCACTGTTTCAACCCATATCATCCAAGGTCATCTTCTTCTGTGTTGTCCCTTAACCCTTCTAATCATGATGTCCTTCTCTTAGGACTGATTCCTCCTGGAAATGCCCCCAAATATGTGCGTCAGAGCTTCACAACCCTTGTCTTCAAGGACGAACCTGGTTTTACCCTCTTCAGGAGAGACCATCTGTTCTCTTGGTAGTCCATAACTAGATGGGTATATAAAGTGATCAGTAACAATGACTAGGGATGATAGAAAGAGAATTGATGCCTTTGAGCTGTGGTGCTGGAGAAAACGGTTAAATATACCATTGACTGTCAGGAGAACAAACAGGTTCATCCTAGAGAGTGTGAAACCAGACTGCTCCTGGGAGGTGAGGATTCTGCGGCTTCGTCTGACATACTTTGGGCATGTTGCAAGGAGGGACCATTCCTTGGAGAGGGACGTCATGTTTGGGAGAGTGGAGGGACAGAGAAAGAGAGGTGAGACCATTGGTGAGATGGATTGATTCAGTGACTGGGTAGGTGTGTCAGACAGTAAAGTTGGCAGATGACAGAGCAGGTTTCAGGGCTGGTATAAACAAGGTCACTATGAGTCTCAAGTGACTCGACGGCACATAACAACAACACTACTAGGCAGGAACTCACTCCTTAGACTATTCAATGGTCTAAAAGGTCAAAATGGTGCAAGGTCAAAAGGGCAGCGTTTGCCCAGAGCTGGAGAAGACCGGAAAGGATAGGAAAGAAGGATGTAGGAAGAGCACTGTTACACTGTGAAACTGCAATCAATGTCACAAAACAAAATGTGTTAGCATTGGAAAGTCCACTCACTCTTTAAACTCTCACTCAAATTTCAACAAAAAGTTTTTCTTAAAATGCTCACATTTGGATAGCCTATTACACAGGCTGCTTCACTTTACACTATGCTGTGAGGTGGGCCACGGAGACCTCTGATCTCCATAAAGGGTCACAAAGGTCACAGACTGTGGTGCATAGTCTCCTCCCCTCCTCTACTTCTGCTACTACAGCGAATGCAGCCTGGTTCTCCTCCTCAGGGAGATTAGCATCTGCCTGGTGGCAGCCTGCCACCAGCCACCGCTACCAGAGAGTCACCACTGTGGGGGAGGGACAGCCTCGCTCATTCTCCTGCCTCTCCGCCCTGCTTACTCACATCACAATAGCCCTTGGGACTCAAGGACAGCAACAACTGCCACTTCCTACAGAGCCTTGGGCAGCCAAGGCCTCTGCTGACAAAAGCCCCAGCATTCAGTCAGCCAGCCATCTAGTGAGGGTCTCTCCCCAGACTCTGCACTGAAAACTAGAGCAGACAGTCCCAGTCCAGCTGGGAGCTCCACCTCAAAGACCGCAGCTCTGATGCCGTGTTCCTGTGCTGGATGCAGATGGACTCTGCCCTCAGCCTCTTCTGACTCACCAAGCTGAGAGTTAAAGGATTTCAGGGAACACAGAGGGCAGGAAGGAAGCCAGCACACACAGGGCTGCTGCCCTGAGTCCTGCACATGCTGGTCCTGAGCAACTCATTTAATTCTGACGAGAACTATGATGTAATGTAACGTATAAAGAGCAAAAATGGGATTCAGAGAAGCTGAGTAATTTTCCCAAGATCACACAGCTAGTCCTTTGAAGGAAGAAGGCAAGATCTGACTCCAAATCCAAGTATTCCTAAGCTTGTTTCCACAGCTGCTTGCTGCTTCCAACACGTTCTCAGTCCCCAGAGCTGTAATTAATCAAGGAGCTGCTCAAACTTTACTGTGCACACAGATCATCCAGGGACTTGATTAAAATACAGGTTCTAAACCAGCAGATGTGGCTATAGGATGGAAGTCTGCATTTTTAACAAGCTCCCATGTGATGCTGATGCTCTTGGTACATAGACCACCCAGAACAGGAAGAAGCTTAACGCACAGACACTGTGAAAACCTGGAAATGCAGCACAGACACAAAATCCCATCCTGAGTGGCAGGACGGGCCAGGGGCCTGGTCAGAAATGGCCCCTCTGCCTCCTGCTCCGGGACCCAGGGCCACTGGTGACTTTGGTACCACCAAAGAAGAGCCCAGGATGTCAGGGCCCACAAGCATGACGCCTGGTCAGGAGAAGTGCAGGCCTGTGGAAAGAGCTGCCATGGAAGGTAGAGGAGCTGACCCGTTCTTAGGAACTCCCAAGAAGCTGGCAATTACGTGGCACCAAGGACTTCACTATATTAAAGATCTTTCCAACACTTAGAGCTACCAAACAATGGAAAAGTGCCTTACCAAGTTCAAGTCACAGTCTCCAGAACTATTTAAGCAGAAGCTAAATAGATGTCTGTTCCTGCTGTAGCTGAATATAAATAATAGATTTCTATTCTAGATTTGTGTGTGAAATCAATGTTCTCCAAGGTCTCGTTTAACTCTGGTATTCTAGGATTCTAATTAGTGCTCATTTCAGAAACAGCCTAGCTCAGGTTCAGAAACTTCTCTCCCTTCTCCACCCGCCAGGCTGCCTGTGTCCTCCCGTGGCTGGTGCTGACCATCCAGACCCTGGAGGGGGTGGAGTCCATTATGGAAAAGGGAGTTACCTTGTCCAGCCTTCCTTCAGGGCCTTGGAGCAGAGCTGTGAGGAAGGAGTACATGCATCAGCACACGGAGATGGGCACCTGACCCTAAAGGGCATCTCAAACACGTCTGCCATGGAGTTAACAAAAGCTATGGCTGCAGCATAAGCCAGAAGACCAACCATGTGCTGCTGAAATTAAGTACAGAAACAGCTCAGCCGACAAAGCACAACTTTTTGTACTTTATCATTTTCTCGCCTCATCTCCATGGGAACCATTTCTTTGTCATAATATTCCTGAAAGAGTAATATAACATCAATCTCTCTCTCTTTAAATGTACTTGGGAGAGAGATGGGCAATATCCTTTCACAGAATTTATGGCCTCTGGAAACTGGCTGGAAGGTTAGCTATGAGTTGATTACAAGTCGATTGTACGCACACAGCCACCACCACAGCTGTACCTCCACTGAACTAATGGGTGGTAGAGTATGAAGCAGAAGCAGCCTCCTTTCATCAAACTACGCTTCAAGCAGCTGTGTCATGTTGAGAAGTGAGGAACCATGTGTGGATGGACTGCACACAATACCTGCCACAATGCTCCCAGCAATACACAACTTGAGGCACTCAGCTCAGTCCCCAGCCAAGGGACAGGCACAGCTTCTCCATGCACAGCATGGAAGGGAGGCCCAGTGTAGTTATGCGGCGTGCAGGGCTCCGCATCTGATTGGAAGCCAGTCTTAAACTGCCTCCTCCTAGATGCCCCACTGGATTTCAGGGTCACAGGGGTTCCATGAGTTCATTGTGAATGGATTTTATGATCATGTAAAAAAACATTTTCATGATGAAACCTTCCGCACAAAGACTTTCTTCCAGAAAGCCAGGTGTATGAAAGTTTTTCTATGTAAACAGATTAAAATGCCAACCTGCGTCAGGGTATCATCTGAATATCCCAGCCAGGCGCATGACGTGGTATAGGCAGGATAGCCCTGGGCCAGCATCTGTGCCTCTGAAAATACAGCACTGGTTGACATCTCACCTTTTCGAGGGACCTTCAGAATCCGAGAACTCCCTCAGTGCAGTTATGCACTCAGCTGTTAACAGAAAATCTGCAGTCTCCAGTCTACCTAGAGGTGCTTTCAAAGAAAGGTCGAGGGAGCTACTCTGAAAGATCACAGCATTATACACCCTATGGAGTGCAGTCCTCGGACATGAGCCTGAACAGACTCAACAGCACCTGCTCGGAACTGAAGTAGCACCCAGTCCAGGGAGCTCTGGGAAGCACCCAGCCAGGAAGGGGGGGAACTCTTGGGGGAAATTCAGCCACTCTCTGAATGGTCCCTCCTTCACATTCTCCTAGCTCATGTATTCGTTCTGGCTTGTATTCACCACTGTGACATTACTGAGGAGATGAGTTAGGTGGTGGGAACACCCTCTTGGACTTCCTCACTTATCAGGGCTCCTCCCAAGCTGCACAGTGTAACCTGACAGCCAAAGCCCTCCCTGATGCGTGGCATGGCCTCTGAGCACACAGACCACGTGCAGGCCCTTCTTTCCACACGGCTTAGACAGTTGTCTGGAGGCTGGGCGCTGGGCAGGCCACTTATACCAACGAAGTGCAACCTCAAAAAAGAGCTCCACCCTAAGTAGGCAATGACAACAAAAAGTAACGGGAACCTCACATCCTACCTCTTTCTCTGCTGCCAACTCGGCCTTTCTGCAGTATTTCTGGAAAATAAAAAAAGAGCAAAACTCATTCTCACGTACAACCAAGAAGTCTGCTACATCAGTAGGTATTAGAAAGCTTTCGATTTAATGGAGTGAGGGACACTCACCACAGGCTTCCTCCTCAGTCAGGGAGTCAGAGATGTACCTGAAATCTATGCAGGACACCAGCGTCTTGGGATCCTGCACCATGACAGGAGGGGACAGGTTCCTCAATTCAGATGGTTTATCTAATTTCCAAGAATCTTCTGACCTTACAGTGGGGGTGGACAGACACTGAACTGTCTGATTATCTCCTCCAATGCCCAGTGCTTCAGAGGCTCATTGGTTCTCTTCAGAGGAAGCCCACCAGCCCTCATGTTCTGACCCTTAAAACCTCAGCTCCACCTATTCCATTAACACCTTTCCCAGTAAGAGGATAAGTAAACAGATGGTGAAACTCAGGTTATCAGTCCATACATCAGTGTTCCATACGAACACTAAGAAGGGAAGTGTGGCCCTGCAGAAGCTGAGTTGAATATGAAAGAAGGCTGGTTGTGGAGTCAGGCCACCAGGCTAAGAGCCTCATGCTCAATTCTGAGCAATTTTCTCTCCTATAGAGTCACAGAATTCACAGAACTGGTAGGACTAGTGAACTCAAATGGGAGAGGCCCCTTCAGCATTTGCTGAGGCACCTTCTTCCCTTCCTACAAGCTCATGGTGCCTCTGGTTCCTGGGAAGGCCAGGTACTTGGTCTGAGCCTCTTGCTGGGACTTTTCTCATACCTTTGGAAAGTAACCAGTAGTAGTTCCATTCTCACTACTGTATTACATTGCCTATAATGTCCTAATGTTACTGTTATAATCATAGAAGCTCTTTCAACCCTGAGATGCACCTTCTTTTAAGAGTCCTGGTGTTAAAACAAGGATCAAGGTTCAAAAGAAAGAAGTCTACAGGTGAATCTTTTAGCACCTTTCAAATAACTAATCTGTCTTGGACAGTAGTAGCTTTAGAGACCCACATCCTTGACCCTCTCTGCCCCCCCCTTTGCCCCTGAAGACACCCTCAACAATGACAGAGGTGATGTGTACTCTGGTTTTACTGTCCTCCAGAGAAGGGATGTCTAGTGATCTCTAAGTCCATATGTTCTTTTTCTTCCATTTAGATGCCAAGTAAGCAATAAGAAGAACCTTCAAAAATTGACCAAGATACTTTTAGTAACCATCTTAGTGGTCACATGAGGAAGTAAAAGATAAGAGTATAAGTCACCTTTGTGAGACCTTGGACTCAGCCTCCGGCCTCCCTGGATCTGAAGTACACTCCTTTTAACTTGCCCAGAATTGTCCCCTCTTCATTCAGGAGCTCGTCTCTTACATAAACAGGTCCAGAAAAAAGACAACAAGGTGCTTATCTCTAGGCTAAGTGTTGTGCCTTTTCCATTAGAACCGCAGAGGGAGAGAAAGCTCAGTCCTCTGATCTCCTGTTACTTTGGAGTCAAGTGATTGCATAGTATCTTAACAACACCCTGCAATTTAATCTTTAGGTCAAGTCTATGAGATTCATGGGGAAGGTGACTATCCTCATACACAGTTCAAAGAACAGAGCCTCAGAGGATCTATGTCCCAGATTCCCTGTGGACTCAGCCTCAACTCAGTATTTCCCAGCTGGGAGGGACTGTGAGGATCAGGAAAAGAGAATAACCTTTACCTACTCTTCATCTCATCATCACTGCAGTAATTGGCACTAGAATACACTTCCTGATTGTCAAAAGGCAAGCAGTTCATGAATTCTATTTCATTTATAGAAACCTCTGTATTGTAAAGAATTTACATACCATGTCAACAAGTAACTTCCACAGAGGCTTGAAAGGAAAAAAGTGAGAGAGAGAGAAGATCAATAAGACCCAAGTATGAAAGCATTTTCCCCTCTTCAGTAAGTGTGCTAGCAGCAAACTCCATCTGTCAGACAGGCCCCATCTCAAATGCTGTCTGTGTGCTTAAGCCCCACGCCATCCCCCTACCTAACCTGTTGCCTCTACAGTCCCATCTTTTATCTCAACCCTTTCTAGATGATGCCTACAATTTCACTACTACTGACAATAACTCTCAGGGGATAAACAACCAAACCATTCTCTAGTTGTCCTTCTAGGGGCCTGCTGCGTTCTTTTCTTTAGTGTTTACAGGGCTGTTTGTAACGGGAGTGTGATTCCTGTCGCAGGCACTAATGCACAGAGCCACAGAACTGACTAGACCCCTTACCTTCCCCTCCTGCTTAGCCCACAGGTCCCACAGGGCATTTAAAATGGCTGCTGTTGCCAGATGCACAACGCCTTTCTCTGGACCAATCTGGTTAGGAGAAAAACGCACCAGCATTACTCAGAAACTGGGAAGGCAGGCAGCTACAAAAAGGCCTCAAGAAATAAAGGCAGCAGTGGAAACTCACTTAAAATCTTTTAAAACACATTTTTTCTTCTTGATCATTTGAAAACAGGTTAAAGATTTCTTTTTTTTACCCTTTCACCCCTAAAGACTTCTGTGTGTACTCCCTAAATGTTATCGTTCTTCCATAACCCTATTAAAGCAATCACATTCAGGAACTGTAACCTTGATAATACTAAAAGATTATCCATATTCAATTTCATCAATTATCTCCCGTATGGTATTTTCTTCTATCCAAAGCCATATCCAATCCAGTATGATGTATCACATTTAGCTGTCACATCTCTGCTGTCATTTTGGTACATTTGGTACTGCTGAGTCGCTCTGATTTAAGGCAACCTCATAGGCAAAAGAATGAAGCATTTCTCTTTAGTGTCTTTTTACTTGAAACAATGATTTCTTTTTTTAATAGTGGCATTTTTAGAAAGTACAAGCCAACTGACTCATGCAGTTTCCCTCAATCTGAGCTAGTGTAGGGGTTCCTTCATGACTAGATTCGAGTAACAAATTTATTTTTTGATACAAATTGACATAGGTGATGATATAGTTTTATCATTAGGGGTATTAACTTTTACTAGATAGTAAGTTAGTGTCGATGTGGTTTCTCCACCAGGAAGTTGTAATTTGACCTTAAAAGTGCCTCCTAAGTAAGGAGCTTGCTACTGCCCGGTTAGCACCTGCTGATGATAGTTCTGTCAATTACCACTTCAGTACTTCATTATGGTGCTCCTCTAACACTGTCATTCCTCGCAAGGTCATTAGTTGGTCTTCAACTGTCATGATGAGCTTTTCTTTGTTGGTTGATTGCTATCTGAATGTGCTCATGGATTCTTACTTTACTCGATGGGCTATAAGGCATAACCACATTTGCCAGGCTTCAGCGAGTAGGATCTTGTTCAAGCTGACTCATTTAAGGATAAGCTTAAACGGATTTGCATAGTTAGGAATGAGAACCATGGCAATATGGAATGCACATGCTTCTGTGTCACTCTGTGAATGGACAAGAGGCTGAGCAGAGGCAGGAAACACATGTGGTATCAGGGAACAGGGCAAAGTCCACACTATGGGATTTATCTTAGCGTGACAGAATCCCCTCCCCAGAGCCTCATTTTTCACAAGCCTTGAATTCATGACTCAGATGCACACCTGCCTATACACTTAGAAGGTTCTTTAGTTAGCTATCCTTCTAACTTTTGGTCTCTTTTACACTTTTTTCCTTAATAACCTCCCCCTACAACTCCAAGACATTGTTATCTCTCCACAAGAAGGTTGTCCATGCATCTTCTAGCTTACTTCTTCCAATTCAGGGAACAAGATGACAAGAGCAGAGATGTTGTTGTTGAGGTAGCTCTGAGAATACAAGCATGCCCAAATTAAAAATTTATAGAAAGAAATTAATGAGCTAAAATTATCAATTCTCTAGGGAGCTCTGGTGGCCTGGTGGTAAGGAGCTGTACTGCCAATCCAAAGGCACACAGGTCAAGTCCACCAGCTCTTCTACAGGAGAAATATGGACAATCTCCTCCCATGCAATTTTCTGATTGTGAAAACCTACTGGAAGGTCAGCTATGTATTGGTTCTAACTTAATTGTACAAAACAACAAAATATGACCCAATTCCTAATTTATCTGAATATTTTACTTACAAATTACAGTGGTTTTTATTTTTACATTTTTGGCAGCCAAAAGAACATCTTAAACCTTGTTGCTGTATTTATATAGTATTATGGTAACAGTATTTATTACAAATATTAACAGTATCAATCTTACAAAAGTGGCTTCTCACCCATCGGAGTTGTCCATCACTGGTGAGCTGCCTGTAGAAGCCCCGGAAGTCGCTGACAATGTCCTTAAGGTCCTTGTTCAGCACATGGTGAGCAAGTGCATTTACAGCACAGACAACTATTAGAAAAGAATTTCATCCTTGTTCACATTTTGGCACAAAGTAATACATTACAACATGAAAAAACACAAAGTAATGTGGCTGTTTTAGTAAAAATTTTATCATAAAAAGACACACTTTTAATTTAAAATTCTGTGTTTTTAAAATATATCTACTGTGAATTATTTTATGTGGCCAGGAGAGACAGGTCCTTGGAAAAGAACATCATGCTCAGAAGGGTGGGGGGATATCACAGGAGAGGAAGACCCTGGGTGAGATGGAGTGATACAGCAACTGGGGCAATGGGGGTAATTGTGTCAGAGTCAGTGAGACTGGCTCAGCACAGGACAGGCTTCAGAGCTGTTGTCAATATAGGGTCACTAAGAGTCGCAGGTTACTCAATGGCACATAACCACAATAACATCACAGTGTTACTCCATTACAGAGTTTAATTTCTGAAGAGCAAACACATTGTTTGATTGGCTGTCATATAAAGAACAGGCCTATTAATATGAAAATTCAAGTATCATTCTTGAAATATCCTAACCCCTTTCCAAAGTGTTCTACAATCAGATTCAAGGTCAACCCTGTTAGTTTCTTGTTCATAATCAATGGATTTGACTTGCAAAGAGTCCTCATGTCATAATGGTTAAACATTCAGAGGTCTGAGATTGGAACCCATCAATCATCCTGCAGGAGAAAAACATGGCACAGTTTGCTGTCATAAAGATTCACCACGTTAGGAGCTCTAGGGGAAAGTTCTAGTCTGTGCTATAGATTCCCTTTGTTTGAACTGACTCACTGGCAATGGGTTTGGATTTGGTTTTTAAATTATAAATGCTATCATTGGTGTTTTGCTGTAATATGTCATCAAGTTGTAACCACTCACAGCTGACTCTCCAATGGGTTTTCAGAGGCTATAAATCGCACTCAACAGCACATAACAACAGCATAAACTGCACAGGAGATGACTCCCCATCATTCTTCCATGGAGCAGCTGGTGAATTAAAATTACTTGTCTTCGGGCTGGCAGCAAATTTCCTTACCTGCTAGGCCAGCAGAGCTCCCTTAAATGTGCTATTAAATATGAAAGGTATCTTAAATTCACAATCTGCTTAACATGCAACTAAAACCTAAATAAAACAAATGCACAATTCACATATAATTACATATACAATGTTCAAGTACATAAAAACCATTTTTCTTAATATCAAATTACTATTGATTTACTGCTGTACATTTTCCATAAATAGTTCAAAGGCCAACCTTAAACCATATCTGCATTATCATCAATTATTTACTTCTGGTGCTTTATCTGAAAGCATTTTGTCTAAGATGAAGAATAAATAAAACCACAAACTGAACCAGAATAAAATCTTTCTATCCCTTGCTGACTCTACCAACCATTTAGACGATGTGTGAATCACCAGTGAGACAATGGTAGAGTTCTTGCCTCCCATGAAGGAGAACCAGGTTGGATTCCAGTCAATACACATCAATTACAGCCAGCATTTGTCTGCCTTGTGGGGCTGACATGTGTTGCTATGCTGCTGAGGTTGCTATGCTGAAAATACACCTGAAGTACTCAGTACTTTTTAAGTATTTTGAGTGCATTTTCAGGAGGAACCAGTTCTTGGCGAGAGACATTATGCTGGGAAAGGTAGAAGTTTAGCAGAAGAGAGAAAGACCCTCAATGAGATGGACTCACACAGTGACTGCAACCACAGGCTAGAGCCTATCTTAGATGGTGAGGATAGGGCAAAGTCCAGATCTGCTGTTCATAAGGTGGCTATGAGCTGTCATCAATTGGATGGCAACTAACAACATGATGCTGAGGAAGGAGCCCTGGTGCTGTGAGTTACATGTTATGCTGTTAACCAAAAATCTAGTAGTTTGAATTTACCAGCCACTCCTCAAGAGAAAGATGAAGCATTTTCCTCATGGACAGATTTACAGCTTCCCTGAGGGAAGATAACCATGAGTCAGAAATGAGGGTTTTAATTGTGGTCTTCTCCAACCCTGAAGGTGGGTCAGGGTTGGGTGAGTCTTGCTCCATGATGCAAAGCACCACTCTGTGGCAGAGTGTCTGACTACATCGGGATGCTCAACAGATTTCTTCAGAGCTTTCAGAGAAATAGAGAGTGAGAATAAAGGCCTGGTGATCTACCATCAAAAGTCAGCCAGGTAAACCCCATGGTTCACACCAGTCTGATCGTGTTGGTTAGGGTCACTAGGAATCAGGGGTTAATTTGACAATAGCTTAATGATAACCAAAATTCTTTAAAAAAGTCATCCTTCTTAACCCCAAAGTTTGTTTTGTGTTGCCACTGCCTGCTCCCAAGTATTTAAGATCCTAGTCACTATTCACTCTGCATCTAGGATATAAAGTGTTTGTTAGTGGGCAATGTGATGTCAACTGACCTTGTGTTCCCTAAGACTATGGTCTTGAGCTTCCAGGCCCGGGACTCATTCCTCCAAGGTACTTAGTTATGGTGAAGAAAATTCCCGACCTTTGCTCCCTAAATCTTCTACTATATTTAGGAATATATTTACAGTATAAAGGTGGTCACATTCTCGGATTAAATAAAATTAGAAGGTTTTATAATAAGTGGCTCATAATAACTATTATCTGTATATTTATTATGTTAATATCAATACATCAGTATTGCTCATTTTTTTAATAATGACCTGAATTATCCCACTGGTTTGTATTATCATAGCCAGTTATTTTTTTTTTTCATTAATTTTAATGAAAGTTTACAAAGACTGTGGATTTCCATTCATTCACTATTGCACTTTTCTCCCTGCCGAACCCTCTCCCCAATTCATGCTCTTCTCTTTGAAAAGTGAAATTCTTTCATTGTTATACAGTCCCTCCCCCAAGTCCACTCTACTATGCTGCCTTTATTCTGGACTCTTGTCATGACAATAACACCTAATCATATATCCCTTTTAAACAGTTTTCTCCCTCATCTGTTTCAATGCAGTATACATTATCTATCCCCTCTTTCTCAGTTTCCCCCCAACCCCTGTGTCAGTCCTCTTTTGTAACAGTGGCATTATGCAGTATTTGTCTTTCTGTGACTGAGATATTTCACTCAGCAATGTACTCCAGGGTCATCCATTTTGTATAATATTTCTTGAGTTTCTTATTTTCCAATGCAGCATAGAATTCCGCTGTGTGAATATACCACAGCTTCTCTATCCATTCATTTGTTGAAAGGCACCTGGGTTGTTTCCAACTCTTTGCTATTGTGACCAAAGCCACAATAAACATGGGAGTGCATATATCTGCTTGGGTGGCAGTTATGGTTTCTTTAGGGTATATTCCCAGTAGTAGAATTGCTGCCTTCCATGTGGTTGCACCATTTTACACTCCCACTAAAAGTGAATAAGGGTTCCAGTTTCTCTGCAACCTCACCAGCATTTGTTGTTTGTTGTTCTGTTAAATTTTTCTATTATTACTGGGGTGAGATGATATCTCATAGTTGTTCATAGCCAATATTTTTAACAAAAGCTAAGTGTGATCTCATCTTTTATAGCTCTGAAAGATGCACACTGTTCTTGGGACTTTCCTAGTGAAAATGAGACCATTGGAGGAAGTTAACTAGATCCTTCTGTACTTGACAGATACTCTGCCCACTGGTCCGACCGAAGGGTGAAATGCAGTCTTCAGGCTTGTCTGCTGGATGGTGTGGGTGAGAACCTCACCTAGCGGGGGGGATAAAAAAAACCAGCCCTTAATGACAGCTTCTTGCTGACTAAATCCAAGGGTCTTCTCCTGTCACTCGACCTACTCAGGAACCTTATTTTCTGGGATGCCCCAACCCTGGAAGGAGATGCAGTGAAGCCTGTGACAGCTATGGACACTTGAGTCTGGACCAGTGGGCTGGATCTTTGAGGCCAATTTCCTGCTTCTCTTAATAGACTTCCTTTTCCACCACTTCTTTTTCTTTTCCTATGTTTTAAAAACCATACTGGTCTACACATTTTAAAAACAGAATAACCAACCCACTCTCTCTCCTTCTCTTCATCTTACTTGCACACACACTCTTTCTCTTTGCATAGTACTGAAGAAAAGCATTCTTTTTTCATCTCTCTCTGGATCACTAAAGAAAAGATTAGCTAAAGACACTGATAAAGGCTATGGAGAACAGGATGAGCTAATGGAATTTCTTTGTCTTTAACACAAGTCTGTGTAGTCATTCATGGAGATTGTAGTGAGTCACTGAAAATGTAGCAAGGCTAAGTGGGTTTGCATCACATCGTGGTCTGAAAAAGGCAGAAGCCAACAACATGACCACAAAACAGTCGATTTTTTAAAATTGGACACTTAAATGGTTTTACCCAACCTGAGATGTATACTAGGATAATTAATAGGGCTGAGATCAGAGGAGGGGGTTGGCTATTGAAAGCCCTAACCCATTAACTTCAGCAAACATCCAAGAAGGGTTTAAATATGTCCTTTTAGTGAGTACACACTGTGTGTTCTCAAGTCAGCAAAACTCTCCAAAAGGCAGTTCAAAGTCTGACTGCTAACAGACAGTGGTCAACTGCCCGTCTCACCTCAACGAAGCCTGAGCAATCTGATACAGCCTGTGGGCTATGTTGTACAGCTGCAGTATGGAAGAATGTGCAGCTCCAAGTGCTTAATTCACAATCAGGGGCTGAAACATAGCTCACAATCTATCATGGTCAGTGATCACTATCCTGGGAAAATTCAGTGAATCAGTAACTTAAGTGGGGGGAGAATAGGGAGCCTCAGGTCCCTGCCCAGGATCCTCCTCCTGTCTGGAAATTCCTAGTTACCCAACAAGATGTACTCCCGGCATTACCTCTACTCTGCAGCCTTCCCTGGCCCTCCTGGCAGAGTGAACCAGCCTTCCCAGCCCTCCTGGCAGAGTGAACCAGCCTTCCCAGCCCTCCTGGCAGAATGAACCAGCCCCTTCTCTGTGGATCCTGCACATACAGACTGGGAACAAACATTTGGTAATACCATCTCAGACAAGAGTCTTAGAACAAAAGTTTACAGAACATTCCTGGGCCTCCCAAAGAAAAAGACTGATATCCCAATTACAAAATGGGCAAAAGACACAGAATTTTCACAGAAGAAGATATGAATGACAGACACATGAAGAAATGCTCCAGATCACTGGCAATATGAGAGATGCAATTCAAAACCACAATGAGGTCCCATCTCACTCCAGTAACAGTGACAAAGTTTAGCAGGATAGTAAGTTAATAAATGTTGGAGAGGATGTGGCAAGAAAGGAACTCTTATACATTGTTGGTGGGACTATAAAATGGTACAACCATTCTGGAAGGCAGTTTGGAGTTTCCTCAAAAAGCTGAACATAGAAATTCCATATGACACACCTATTCCACTACTTGTAATATACCCTGAGAAAATGAAAACTGAGGCACAAACGGAGACTTGTACACCAATGTTCATAGTAGCATTATTCACCATTGCAAGAACATGGAAACAGCCCAAATGTCCAACCACAAGGGAATGGATTGAGAAAGTATGG